GTCCAAAGCTGTCTCCATTCTGAATAAAGCTGTTGCGAGCAATGTGTGCTGGTGTTTGTTCCCTGCTTGTTCTGGCTAATGAGTAACAGGATCCATAAGCAATTGAATCGTTGTCTCCCTAGTCATTGCGCACTGCATGGAGTTGGGGTCTAACAGAGGGAACTAAGATTACTTAGTCTAAAGAGAAGACTGAAAGGAAATTTAATAGCAGCCTTCAGCTACCTGAATGGAGGTTCAAAAGAGGATGGAGCTAGGCTGTTCCCAGTGGTGGCAGGTGACAGAACAAGGAGCAATGGTTTCAAGTTGCAGCAAGGGAAATTTAGATTAGATATTAGGATGAATTTTCTCACTAGGAGGGTAGTAAAACACTGGAACAGGTTACCCAGAGAGATGGTGGAAGCTCCATCCCTGGAGGTTTTTAAGACCGGATAGACAAAACTTTGGCTGGGATGATCTAGTTGGGGATGGTCCTGCTTTCAGCATGGGGTTGGATTAGATGACCTCCTGAGGTCCCTTCCAACCCTAATTTCTTATGATTCTATAGTTTTTTTAAGGCAGCACAAAAGTAATCTGCTTTCACCCCAAGTCCCTGGTCAGTCTGCCTTAGGAGGGTAAAGTGACACATTACACTTAGACCAGACAAAATCTGTGGAATGTTAAGCACTATTAAAGAATGTGATGTGAATAGTTGCACATTAAGGGTTAATACTGTTTGTCACCCGCACAGCTTTGACTTACCACTAGATGGCTGGTGAGGCTAGGGGCATGGCTAGGAGCCCCTAGCCTCACAATGCCCCCAGCCTCACCAACTAGGGGTTGTTTTCTACCCTTGCTCTGGGTGAGGGAGTTAGTGGGAGAGAGCGGGGTTGCAGCAGAGAGGGTGCAGACAGTTCAGCTCCCTGATGTAACTGAGAACACTTTGCAGGAAGCCTTTTGAGTTACAAAGATCTCCTGGAACAAAGAGCCTGCAGCCATTTTCCCTTAGCCACAGTCCCTCCTCTCTCCCAGCCTGTCCCTGTTTCAGAATGGGAGGGGGGAAGGGACGAGAGGGAGCTCATTCTAAGGGTTCCCAGCCAGCTTTGGAGGGCAGGGTGGGTGTATTGGTACCCCCCACCCTCCAGCACCAAACCCCCAGACTGAACTCCCTCCGGTCCCTTTCCCCCGATTTGCACCCCGCTTCTGAAAACACTGACAGGTTGGGGGGCAGCACAGGCAAAAGTTACAGAAGATGCTGTTTTGAAACATCTTCACCTGGCCACTCATGCAATAAGGGTTCAGATTTTCACCCAATTGGCCATCTTTAAAGCTGTCTACAGCCATGCAGTTGTGTTTGGTCATGGCTATAAGCTGCTTTCTGTGGCCAGATCTGGGTGAAAATTATCACTTCTGTCTGCACCTGGAGTGGCATGCAGTGGAGAAGCATGGGGGTGTGAGAGATGTGGCTTCCCTCTGCAGGCCTCTTTGGTCTCCTTAAAATCCTTTAAGGTTATGTAAAGTGTTTTTATATAAAGATTATTTAAAGCATTTTTATTTGAAGAGAAATAAAAGATATAAAAAAAAATAAAGACTCTCTCATGTGCTAATGAATTGTGGGTTGGGGAGAGACTAGTCAAGTCCAGCCAGCTGGCCCTGCACCACCCTGCTGCACTGATCCCCCTCTCAGGAATGTTCCTCTCCGGGAAATGTTCAGTGACATTGCGATTGGGTTCGGGGGGAGGTTGCAGGCTGGGAAGGGGGACTGAGATGCAAGGGGGCCATGCATTCCTGTCTTGGCTGGGGATGGAAGTGGAGAGAGCTGGTGAGTGTTGAGCCTTTGAGCCAAGCTGAGCTCCTACATTCCTGGCCCAGGTATTAGGGTTCAGGGATGCCCTAGTTTTCCCCCCCAAGCTTTCCATAATCCCTCCTGGCCCAGGGGATGGGGGGAGGGGGGGGAGAGGAGGCTGGAGAATGCCAAAATGAGTTCAGATGGCTACTTCTTTGCCAGCCACCTGCACCTAGCCCTGCTGATCCAGACCTCATCACGCCTCATCCCAGCCCCGCAGCCTTGCTTAGAGCTGCCTGTGCATTTTCTTTTAGGTCAGGCACAAGACACAGAAAACTTCGATGAACTATAGTTTACAAGAAGTTAACTGAAATTTTCCCACACTGCCAGGCCCCATTTCCCTGCTCTCTTAAGCAGGTTTGGGGAGGGCCCAGCTTTTCCCCGAGTCCCCCAAAGTCCTGTCCTGTAGTGGGGGTGGAAGGGGGGGGGACTGGGCTCCAGAGAAGCATGCTTCCACAGGCTCCATGCAATGTTTAATGGCTCCATGCTGGTAACTCCCACCAAACCTGGATAGCTTTGCACTGGCAGGCAAAGCCAGAGTGCAGAGCTTCTGGGGTTTAGCAGGGGAGGGCCATAGCGCTGGGGAAGCACAATTCCCTGGGCTCTGTGATCCCACTGAAACTGGATGGTTCCACACTGGCTTCCCCTGCCAGCATGGAGCCATCCGAGTTTGGTGGGAGCTACCAGCATGGAGCCACTGGTGTTAAACATGACACAGGAGCATGGAGCCTGAAGAAGTACGTTTCCCTTAGGCACAGCTCCCTTCTGTACACCCATAGGGTTTAGCAAAGTGGGAGTAGGGTGTCTGAGGAAACATGCTTCCCTGAGCTCTGTGATTCCTTTGAACCTGGATAGCTCTGCTCTGGCTTCCCCTGCTTCACCAAGGTCCTGCATCACTCAGCTGGCTCCAGGCTCTGTGCTGGGCAGCCCCTTTTCTCTCCCACCCAGACAGGAATGTAAGCAGTTGGTGGGACACAGGGCAAAATGCTTAACTCTCTAAGCAGAGGTCTTCATGCTGAGGCCATTGGAATTGGCTGGCCAGCATGGTGCTATGTGGGGCAGGGTCACACCCATTGGGGGCAGGTGGGTGAGAGTATTGGCTTGGGGCCAGTACCACTCCGTGGGGAGTAGAGTTTGTCCACAGAGCAGTCTTTAAGAGACTGAGTTCGTTTAGGTGTTTTCTCCCACTCAACCACTTTTTATAGCTCTCTTCTGCGTCCTTTCCAATTTCCCCAAAGCTTTTTACAGTGTGGCCACCAGAAATATAGAGTATCCCTGTTTATACATTGAAGGATTGCTTTATTTGTTTTGGCCACAGCATCATGCTGGGAGTCCTTGTCCAGCTGTTTGGCTGGTATGACCCCCAAATGCCTTCCAGATTATTTTTTTCCCCCCAAGATAAAGTCCCCCATTCTGCAGGACTGGCCTGAATTCCTTGATCCTGGATGTAGAATTCTGTATCTTTGGTTGTATTAATATACAATTTATTTTCATGGACCCTCTGTATGAAGCAATCAGTATAAGTCTGTATGATTCTCTTGTTCTCCTCATTATTTAATCACTCTACCATTCTTTGTATTACCCACAAATTTTACCAGTAACATTTTTATCTAAATCACCAATGAAAAAGTTGAATAGCATTAGGCCTAGTGCAGTCTCTGTGGAACCTTACTGTCAATAATTCCAGTTCAAAATGATTCCCCACAGGTAGCTGCTTTCTCAGCTCTATGAATTGATCTGTTCTTAATCCATTTATTGCGTGCTTTATTGTTACCATATGCTAATGTTTTAATCTGAATGTCATGTGGTACTAAATCAAATGCCTTAAAATGTCACATATAATTACCTTACCACTCATCCTTTAATTCTTTATTTCACAAACCCGTATCAGTTTTTTCATTTTTGAATTTTCAGTTTTTGCCCTGAGATCTGTCAGGCTGACAGGCTTACAATTACCTAGATCATCTTGATTGCCCTTTAAAATTATTGTTTCACTTTTTTCAAAGAGTAAAGAGAAAATTCCTGTCAGAAAAGTAAGACAACTTCTGCTGGAAAGTGGGAGCAACCTAGGTTTAGTAGAGAATGGACTAGAGAGCATTTAACACTTTATGGGCTGTTTATTTGTGCTACACAAGTGCCTAATATTTGCGGATTGTTTTAACCAGTTGCATAGCAGAAGATTTACATTGTAATATATAAATAGGAAACTGTAGTCAACTCCCTCTAGGACTCTCTTCCCCAGAAATACAGCTAAGGAAAAAACACTTATCTGCTAGCAGTAGCTAAAGAATCCCAGTCTTTTACCAGCAAAAGCTGTAACAGCCTTCTGTAGGACTTAGTAACTTTATAACCTCATCTAACCTCTAGTTACGAGACCTTTGTTCCTTAAGGTATTGTCCTTCCTTATCACTGTCACCTGTCTGTCAGGCATTTATCTCTTCCCATGCTATTTGAAGTCTCTGCCCTCAATCTACACGTATCTTGGCTCCACACCATTTTTCCACATCAGTTTTCTTCAGTATCTTCTCTTCCTTTCTAGATCCCTCCTTTATAGTGTAACTTCAGTATCTGTGCATTGTAACTTTAGTTACTAATTTTGAAAAAAATAAGCATTGAAAAGTAAACAAAGACACAACCTCTCCCCACAAGGAGAGCACCCACAGCCCAAACCCTCTGCCACTGAATGCTGCTGAAGCCCAGTGTCTGCAGGCTGGATGTAATGATTGCACAGACCATAGGTTCCTGATCCCTGGTATTTATTTTCCTTAATGCACTACATTCTCTGGCCTATTCCTTTCTGTATGCACTGCCTTAGGAAATGATATAGAAGTGGAAACTGATTCCCAGGACTATGCCTTTGAGGGCATTCCCAACAGATAAAACAGTTGGTGAAGCCAACTGGACAGGAAGGAGCAGTCATATCATGAGTCTCTGGCTATTGACAACTGATGAACAGAGTTACCAGCTGGGGAGTATTAGAGCAGCCCAAGGCTGGATTCAAGTGGAAAAATCAGGGCATTTTAGTTAGTGTCCTGAGGACCCCTCAACTACCTGCCTGCCAGAAATAAATCTGATCTGCAGACTGTAAGCATTTTGTGTGAGAATTTGTATCTTTATGTATCTAGATAATATCCAGTGTGAGCCAAGTATAAATAAATAAATTGCTAGTGTTGCTCACCATAGATTTTCTGAATTCCTTGGAGGTCATCCTGTGGGAGTTTAAAGTTTTGTGTTTCCATGTACTGGTAGAAAGGGGCCATGATAGCACTGGGGTCATTGGAGTGTTCGAGGCCTAGGGCATGACCCAGCTCATGGACAGCAACCAGAAAGAGATCATTTCCTACAGACAAAACATACATTCAGATTAGTTTCCCAGGTAATATGTTAATAACAGTGCAATACAAAATACAAGACTCCATACATGCTTCATACTGTAATCTAGCTCTGTTTTTACATTGTGCAGCCAGTAGCTGCATCAGCTCTAGGCACCTGAAAAGATTGTTTTTATTGTTTTAAAGTAATATGACTATTACAATCAAAGCTCAGTTCAGTTATAGGAAATGCTGCAGCCATGTTGTGATGATTGTATTTAAAATATTGATTCTTGTAAAGCTATTTTAATTTGTTCACCCCGAAGTAAGCTGCAAGCGTGGTGCAGGGTTCTGATTTTGCAGCATATTAGTTAGCATAACATTTCAGGATATTTCACAATAAGCATGCTAATTATAGGGCACAGGTGGCCATATACAAGTTGCAAAAACATTTTAATTTTCCTATTCCAGTTATTAAAATGTTTATGGCATAGGAATGGAAAAAGAAATTAATACAGAAGGCACAGAATAAAAAGGAAATGAATGGAATCTACATAGAAAATAAAAGTTCAAATGCATAAATGTATGCAGACATAGATGGTATCCTGCAACCGCACTGTGTTAATCCACATAGTGATTCATTAGATACATACTTAAATCAAGAATGCCAGTGGTGTGAAATTTGAAATTCATATAGATTAAACAGCAATCTGGACTACCTGTTGCTAGAAAATAAAGTGTGCCTCAAGTTAGCAGAATAGACTGTCCTATTTTTCATATAATGTTGTGATAAAATCTTAGAATTGGTAAGTCTTGATCAATTAAAAAAGCCCCCACTCAGG